AGCGCATAAAGTGGCCAGTTTCATGAACTTAATAAAACAAGTAGAAGAAATAATCCGGAATTAAAACTTGCATAAAATCATAGAAAAGGGTTCATAAATCCCACATAGGGTTCCAAATAAAATCCTAGAAATAAAGACTTAGCTACTCGTAATTCTTATGATAAATAAAATAAAATAAATAAATTAAATAAGAAAAACTATGCTTGAATCTTCGTTGATCTTCTTTGCTCTTGAATTTGCGTCCAAAGATCCCTAATTGTGTGCTTGGCTTTGTCTTATATAGGGTGAAGAACTTGGGGAAGAAGGCAGTTTCCTTGTGCAATTAAAAGTCCTTTACTGCGCAACTTCGGAGTCTCGGACGGGGGTCTCACAATTTGAACTAAAACTGGGACGGGGGTCCGAGCCTTGTTTCTTCAGAATTTTGATATTTTCACTTTTGACCCATATTTTCGCCAAAATTGCAGTTTTGACCCCATACATGTGCAACGTCGTCACAAGTGCTCCCAATGACCATAAATCAACTTTTTAAGCACCAATTATCGTTAAAACACACCAAAAGCTCAAATAAAAAGATACGATAAAGTGTAAAAATATACACTTAACACACCCCCAAACTTGAACTTTTGCTTGTCCTCAAGCAAAATTTACCAATAAGCAAATAACTCAACGATAACATCTCATCACATAGATCAATGACCAACTTCACGTTTTCAGAACTTGTAATTATAATGACAATTCTTAGGCATTCGCAAGCTCAAAATTCAACGACACTTAGTCACTCACCATTACCAAAAACCACAATTCATACAATTGCTTCAAGCATCCAATATTTGCAAATTAAAGATAGAAAAAATTTATACTTACATGCATATGCTTGACTCCAAATACTCACCAAATTATTCTACTCTACTAATATCGAATATTAAGCTATTGGGATCATTGGGGCTTTGTGGCTTTCAATTGTTAGGCTCTTTGGTTCGAGATAGGAAATATGGGTATGTGTGGCTATTCTTCTTGAATTTAGGTGATTACGCCAAAATTTGAAAGATAGGCGTTTGAAACAATGAATTCACCTCTACGGACTTTAATAAACTCGATTCTCAAAAGTTCAAAAGTCTCCACTTTTGCTTTTGAGACAATGGATCGAGTTTTCAAAAAAAATTCAACAACTAGTCCTTATTTCTCCCTTCTAGTCTCTTCTTCTTCTCTTTCTTTTTTTTTTTTTTTTTTTTTTTTTTTTTTTTTTTTAATAAATTTTAATAATATATAGATATTTGTCTTCTTGAAACCATCTCATGCACATTTTCCACAATAGGACTCAACACCTTACGCTCACCTTCTTGAAATAATGATGATCCTGTCAGAGTATATTATATTATAGAACTATTGTAATATTAAAATTTTATTATGATTATGTTATCTAGATTAGTATGATTTAATTATCTAGATTAATCTATTTTTTTTTTGTAATATTTCTCTATATAATTCATGCAAATCAACTCATAGGTAATGGGGGTTTTCTATTACTTCTCAATTTTAATGCATACCACCATTTACTCTCAGAATGTATCTCTATACACCTTAGCAAGCAAAGCAATTTCTGAAATATTATCTTACATTTAATATCATATAATTTATCAAATAAGCTGTCTAATTTATTTGCACTTGTGCAATCCACCAAATCACCGGTTGTCATTTACTCCGTATGAAATAAATCATCAGAAATTTCCACTGGCAGTTGGATTGATATTTGACTGATAGATTGTGAAGTTGTCCCATCTTGCATCATCAGTCTATATATACAGTGGCGAAATCCAAGAATTTTTTAAGTGTGCAAAAATTTTGGCCGATAATTATTTTAGGAGATCGAGATCCTACCAATAAAAACCAATAGATTTTGGGAAACTTTTTGCAATGATTTGAAAAGATTAAGAAAATATTGGTGAAAATGAGGTGTGTTAGTTCTTTTAATTTTAACGCCCGCACTTTTTGAAGCTGAAATGCTAAATGCCACACTATTTTTACCAAATCATGCACATAACTAAAAATATTTCTCTCTTTAAAATCTTCTCTTCTCCTTTTCCATCCTTTTTCTTTTTCTCTAAAATTTTCACTAAATCACACACTAAAAACATCCTTAGCATTCCAAGTTCGAATTTGACAAAAATCTTCACATGTTCAAACTAAAATAAAGTTGGAATTTGAGGAAAAAAATCGAATTCATATGAATTCGAATAATTAAAAATGGTTAATGAAATTGAATAAATATTAAATAAAACGAAACTCATTTTTTATGATTATTCACGTAAAAAAATAATAAATTTTGAGTGACTTGGATAAAATAATTTTAGAGAGAAGTTAGAGAAAATTTTAGTAGATAGAGAATGTTTTTTTAATTTCTGTGTGGGATTTAAAAAATTTTAGTGTAGAATTTAGCACGTCCCTTTTTGAAATACTAAAAACCCCTCACATATATAAACAAATTAAAACCAATGTTATCAGAATCGGACCGGACACAAAACCGGATAGGTTTTCGGGTCACGGTTGGACCGGTTCAACCGGGTTCGACCCGGGTTTTTTAATTTTTTTATTTATTAATTTTTTTAATTATTGTATTAATTTTAAACTTTAAAAATACAATATTCCTATATATCTTTTATATATTTTACATGTCTTTTCCATTTTAATATCATATATCTCACTTCATTTTGTTTTATTTATATTTTTCTTAACATTTTTTTATTAACATTTTTTATCTCTCATTTGACATGTCTCTTTCTCTCTCTTCCCACTTTCTTTTTCCTTTCTTCTTCACGCAGCAGCCCCCCCTCTCCCCCTCTCTCTCTCTCTCTCTCTCCTCTGTAAATCCAAAAACCTTCCTTCTCTTCTTCTCTTCTTTTTCTCTCCTTTCTCTCCATTTCGGCCTCCGACCACTGAATTCAGCCCACCACCGCCCAGATTCGCCCACCTAATATAGTCTTTACAACCAAGATCCGTCCACCTCCAGCCTCCGACCACCGGATTCAACCCACCGCCGCCCAGATCCGCCCACATAACAGCCTTTGCGGCCGAGATCCGTCCACCATATACTTTTTTTGATAAAACCCGGGGTCATTAACCGGTTCGCCGGTTTCCGGGTTTTACCCGGTTGAACCGGGTTTGTTCATTTTGACCCCGGTTTTCAATTTCTCCGGTTTTGGAGTTCAAACCGGACCGCCAAATTGTTGGGTCCCGGCCGAACCGGTCCGACCGGCCGGTCCGGTCCGGTTCCGATAACATTGATTAAAACCAAGCGGGGTCAGTTGACCACGCTTGCGGCGTTGCCAAAATACACCTCGGCTACTGTGATATATGTACAAATATAGAACAACAACTCATATTAAACAAATTAAACTCACTTTTCTCTATACTCATTATATACATGTTCCTCCAACTTTAAGCCATTTCATTTAGGTATCTATTTTTTCATAGACTAGTCTATACTCAATATCTCACTTTTTGTAATTATACTTGTACAATAAACGGGTAAACAACATAAAAACCTCCTGTATTAAAGAAAATCTGCTCCAAATTCCCTTGTGTTATTTTTATTGTATAAAATCCCCATGTTTCATTTTTCTTTGCATAAGATTCCCATTTCCGTTAATAGTTAACACCTTAACTATAGATGGAATTTTATGCAAGTCTTTTTTTTGTAATATAAGGGGATTTGGTACATGATTTTACAACACAAGGGGGTTTACGGAAAATTAATTTTATTCATTTAAAATTTAAAATTGTCTTAAATTAAGTCAAATACATCAATTAATTTACAATATAAAAAATATATTAAAAATAATTAGTCTCGATGGAAGTTGGAACATATTCTCAAATTATTTATGTTCTTTTTAAATATAATTAACCCATGATAAATTATAAAAATATATAATAATTCTGATAAAATAAAATGGTAATTATTATAAGATGGAAACAAAATTTCTGGCTTAAGATTGTTGTCAAAATCTGTTGGCAATGAAGTTGCCGAGGTGACTTGTCTTTGTCCTTAAGACAGAATTTCACGCTACGATACTTACGGTTAGTGGAAATTGTCTCTCAATATACAACGGTAAATATGGAATAGAACCACTCTGAAAAACAAGTACGGCGAATTGTATTATATGTGTAGAAACTTTTCGATGGAATCTGGGAAAGGGTAGACAAGAAATGTAAAATAAGAGAAAAAACTTTCTAATTGAAGTGAGGAATTATGAAAAAATAAGGGTCCATTTTGAAAAGTAGTGTCCCTTGGAGAAAAAGGTGTAAAATCCACCACTCACCCCACCTTTGCAGTGATTTTGCAGTGTATGTTATTATGTATAGATCAATGGTATAAAACTACATTGTGTATTTCGCCAGGTGTAGGTTCTCTAAAACCGTAGCATATGACAGTTTTGAGTTTTTAATTGCGATGTTTGAGTTATCTTGAATATATTCCATCAATATAATCGAACATACTCCGAGTAACTTCTACTATTTAATCAATTAATGGATTAATTATAACAATCGAACAAGTCTAATTAGCCTGATGATGAAAGTTTTGATTTGCAACGGTCCCAAAAATCTTAATTAGAACAATTCCAACATGTGAAACTAACAACGTAAGTACATAAATATAGTTGGAAATAAGCAATGCAATCTGCAATCTTTTATTACAAATTTACAATTCTACTGATTATGGAAAAAGGGTGATATATATAACATTTAAGTATCGATCATTAGTTTTTGTGTAGATATTATTTTAATGACAATTTCTCAGTATGCACAAATTAAATCCAATAGCTATTAAACATATGCTGTGTTTTTAAAAACAAAAATCAAGAAATCAAAAACCAGGATCCTTTCCATGATGACGTAATCCCACCCACATCTTCACTATAAATCACCCTTCATCTTCTTTCTCTTCTCACATAAGCAAAAAGAAAAATACAAAAAACACTTAATTAATATTATTAATATATATAATGGCGAACGCACTTCCAGTAGTTTATAAAGCTTGCGCGGCATGCAAACACCAACGCAGAAGATGCGATGCAAACTGCGAACTCGCCAAATATTTCCCGGCGGAAAAAGCCGACGATTTTGAAGACGTGTACCACCTTTACGGCATGCAAAACACATTAAAAATACTTAAATCCGTTGACGAAGAAGAAAGAGATAAGACGATTGAGAGTCTTATTATGGAGGCGAAGATGCGATTGGAATATCCCGTGCACGGCCACTTTTCGGTCGCGAGAAAGCTTAGCATTGAGATTGACAAGGCGGAGAAAGAGCTTGAATTTGTCCGCAGACAAATCCAGCTCTTTAGAGGATCGGATAACCGGGCCGGTCCGTCAACCCGCCGTGAAGGGCAACCCGATCAACCGTGAATGTGTTCAAAGATATTTTTTTATATTAGACTTATGTTAGCTAGAACGAGTATTTATAGTGCGTAGGACGATGGTGTATTAATACATTTTTGTAATGGAAAATCTTCGGTTGAGATATTTACATTAATCGACTTACGTCACGCGTTTAATTTAATTGAAAGGTTTTTTCCTTTTTCACTGAATCCGATATGTTAATTATTATTTGATTTTTCGCGGTTGACACGTGCTGTTTTATTCGTGACATATTCGATATTTTTCAATGAAATTGTTTTACAATTAGGTGTAGACACATGCACATGGAAATTGTTGAGTAATAGCTAATAATCAAGCAATGATAATTTGGATCATTCGACTTAGTGCAAACACAGCTTCCTTCTAGTATTTTTTTTAATTTTATTTTAGTTTGATATTGCTTATAAATATTACTCGTGTAGTTGTGTGTGTATGCTAATTTAGGTTGAATGAGTAGGTATTTTGTAACATGGTATTGAACCATAAAAATGCCCTTGGCCCAATAATTTGAATATATCAATTCATAAATCATAAATCATTGACTAATCATTGACTAATTGTCTGAGGTAAATGGATCTGTGTTAGAGATAAAACTTACGAGTGGTACAAATGGATAAACGTTCAATGAGAAATTGTTAGAGTGAATTGCATTAATTATTCTCTAAAATTCGCAACTACGCGATTCTCCCATATCATATAAAAAAATAGCAAACACCCCGCCTGTGCTTATTAGTCAAGGGCAAAAAACCCCATTAGAGTAGACCGTGTGTCTCACTCGCGGGTTGTACAATTTATTTCTTCTTTTTGGCCTATGAAATGACAAAATTGTCCCCAAAGTTTCTACCATCATCCCTTCTCTCTCCTCTCTCCTCTCGTCTTCATCTTTTACCCTTGTTTTATTTTTCTGAACAAATCCTCTCCACTGTTCATTAATGGAGGAAACGTGTATACATACTAAATCCCAAATCAAAAAAAATTGAAAATTGAATTTGGCGCCTTCTTTCTCTCTTTCGAATTGAAGGTTTGTCCCAAAATTCGAAATCAATTTCTGCTGCTAAGCTCAGACCAACTCCAGAGAAACAAAGAAGATGAAGTAAAAAACTTATCAAAATCCTAATCAATTCCAAACAATAATATTATAACATCTCGAGTGACATAATCTGAATTTTTCTTTTTTCGTCGTTCTCTGGGAAAATTACATTTTATGTCCCTAAACTTTACCACTAAAATATTTTTTGTCCCCAAACTTTTACATTCATGAACTATGTCCTCAAACTTGTCACTTTTTAACAATTTATGTTCCACCGTTAACTTCGTCAGTCAAGTTGTAACGTGTGGCTCACGTGATGCCGACGTGGGCGTCAAATATCGAGCTGCGGCAAATCAACACAGTTCTTGGAAACTGCGGCAACACCGCTAATTTCTCCGAAAATAACGTCGGTGTTTTGGGGACTGACGTGGAAAATGAGGCTGCTCCGGAGATCAAGACAAACGACTCGGTGGGCCCCACATCCTAATTAACTGTCTTATATATTTACATATAATATAATACCTCCTTCCTCGGGGCTTCCTTTTGTCGGTTTTAACCGAGGATTTCGCAAAGCAGGTTTTGCTAAAGGTAGTATGACTTCTCTTTTTTTCGGGTTGATGTTTTTTGTGGAGAAAACAAAAAAGAGAAAGGAGGGTAGTTGTTTTGTTTTTTGAGGGTAGTTTAATTAGTATCATCTCCAAACATTTTCTTAATAGTATAGTGTGACCAACTTTTTGAAATGTTCATTGTACATATATTTTGTTGAATGATCATCTCAACCAAAAGCTTAACCTGTTAGTGAAATTTATATTGGGGTCATTACAAATAAGCCTATCTATGGGTACTTATTCATAAAGAGATTCAGACAAAAAAATCTTTTACCAATAAGTCCACATATGGTGAGTTAATTGCATAGACCCCCCTGTGTTATTTCTCGGAAGCAAAAAACCCCCCCGGAAAAAAAAATTAGCATATGACCCCCTATGTTGTGTTTTAGTCAGCCCACCGCCCCTTTGTGTGCACTGACTCGTTGACTTACGCGAAATGACAAAAATGCCCTTCAGATAAATATATCCAACCTCTAGAATTTTATGACTCAAATGAAATTTTCAAAATTTTCAATTCAGTCCCTAGCACTTTCAATTTAGCCCTCTTCTCCAATTGAAAAAAAAAAAACAACGCACACTTCAATTTCAATTTCTCAGCTCATAGCTCAACGGCAGCTGTGTTTGAGAGGATTTTGCGATGGGCTTTGCTATTCGTCGGAGAATTCGGCGAAGTGTAGCTCGCCGGACCTCGATTGGCGACGACTTTAGAGAAGATCTGAACTCGCGGCGGCGGCAGCGGCGGCAGCGGCGGCGGCAGCAGCGGCGGCAGCGGCGGCGGCAGCAGCGGCGGTTCATTTTTCTGATTATTACCGCGTCAAAATAAAACCAGTATTACCGCGTCAAAATAAAACCAGTATTCAATTCATATTAACTCCGATTGAATGCAATACCGTTGCCGAATTTCTCTCTCTTCTCCGTCGGAACAAACTGTAGTTGATTTCTTACTGTTTCAAATCTCCGTTGCTATCGGAAGCGAGTTTTGATTCTCTGTTTTGAATCTGCTTTTTCGTTTTTTTTTTCCGGCGAATATTTCGCCGTTTTCCTTATAATCCAGCTGAATCGGCAGTTTTCATATGCCGATAAACATTGTTCTTCACCGGCGTGTCGATTGAAACGTACTGCTTGTGACGAGCACGTGGTTTTTATTTTTTTGATTTTTTATTTTATTTTTCAGTGAAGTGTTTGTGTTTTTGAATTTCCCTAATTTCGTGTTTCTATTGGCTGGGTTTGTTTGAGAGGTGATTTACTGTTTACAGTTTTAAATTTGACATATCCCAAAATTTAGTTGTGAGTAGGAATGGGTGGAGTGGTTCGGTGGTGGGTTGGGATAGGGGAAGGCGGCGATGGAGGAAGGGGGTGGGGATGGAGGAAGGCGAGTGGTTCAATTATTTGGGGAAGAAGACGATTTATTCTTTTTTTTTTTCCTGTATTCTTTATATTTGTTTTGACAATTTTGATTATTACAATTTAGTCTTATTACTTTAGATTAGTTATAAGTAAATAGATCTGGGTTTTTTTCCTCTTACAAAGGGTTTTTATGTCTTTTCCAGTCCTAAAATGTCCTAAAACGCACGCCCAGCTGCATGAACCGCGAGTGTATCCCACGATTCGCTCGTAGGGTCCTTATTGTCATTGACTTCCTTTCATAGGGGGGTATTTGCTAATTGTTTTATCCGAGGGGTTTTTTTGCCAATTAGAGATTTCACAGGGGAGCCGAGTGCAAATACCCCCACATATGGTCTTGATTTTTGTAAAGGACTAAAATAGCCCCTCATACTTTAATATGCTCCAATTTCATCCTTAACTTAATTTAACTTCAATTTGACCCCCAATTTCACAAATTATTCAATTATGACCCAATTTTTTTTTTCAATTTTTTTTTTCAGAATTTTTTTTAGTGTTTTTTTTTGCGTTGACTTTTTTTAGTGTTTTTTTTGTTTTTTGTTTGTTTTTTTTACGTCCGCCGCTAAACGTTGACCGTAATTGTGCTGTCTGACAGTAAATTAACGTAATTATACTGTAATGACAGTTAATTAACGTAATTGCTGCCGTTGATAATACATTTATGTAATTGTGCTGCCGTTGACAGTAAATTAATGTAATATTATTATTATTTTTTTGTTTTGTTTTTTTTTTTTGTTTGATTTGTTGACAAGTCAACGTAATTTTTACTGTCGTTGACATTAAAATAACTGTAAACACAATAATATTACTGTCAACAACATCAATATTATTATTTTTTTGGGTTCCTTGCCTTTGTTTGAGTTATTCACGGAGTTACGTTATTATATTACTGTCTATTATTGTAATATTACTGTAAACACAATAATATTACTGTCTATTATTGTAATATTACTGTAAACACAATAATATTACTGTGGTTGACGGTAAAAAAAAACACTAAAAATATTTCTGAAAAAAAAATTGAAAAAATTTCTTTTTTTGCAAAAAAAAAAAAAAACATTGGGTCAAAATTGAATAATTTGTGAAATTTGGGGTCAAATTAAAGTTAAATTAAGTTAAGGATGAAATTGGAGCATATTAAAGTATGAGGGGCTATTTTAGTCATTTACAAAAATCTGGACCATGTGTAAACTTATTGGTAAATGAGTTTTTTGTCTGAATTTCTTTATGAATAAGTACCCATTGATGGGCTTATTTGTAATGATCTCATAAAACATTAGGAATTTTCACCAACCGTTGGATTGATATTTGACTGATAGATTGCCAAAATGTGCCATCTTGCGTCACCAGTCTCTATATATATACAAATTTAGAACAACAAATTATAACATACAATACAAAAGCAATAATTTAGACTTATTAGAAAGAAAGTGACACTATTAAACAAACTCAGTATATGTTCCTCCAAGTTTAAGCCATTTCATTTAGGTATCTATTTTATACAATGAACACATACATATTAAAATAAACTAGTGTACCCAGTGGCGAATCTAGGATTTTTGCCAAGGGTGTTCGGAATTAAATATAGTAAAAAAGGTAAAAGTTTACGGGGGTTCGGGGGCAGCGCCCCCGATTTTTTTTTTAATACTATACACATTAAATAATAAAAATATGTAATATTTTCAAATTTAAAGGGATTATTTTACAAATTTTGGGCTAATTTAGGAAATATTTAGACATAAAATTGGTGAAAATATTTAAGGAGTGGTAAGAATATTAAAGTTGCAAGTGACAAAATGTGTATTTCATTAGCAGATTTTGAATTTTTAAAATATAAAAAAAAACACACACATAGTTGTAAATTTAGAAAACAATTGTAATAATGCATATATAAAAAAAATTAAGAATTTTGGAATAATTTAGATTATGTAAAATATTAAAGGAAT